TTTTTCAATTTTTCTTGAAAATTGTAATTATTTTTTGTAAAAAAACTTTTTTTAAATGAAAAACAGGAAAAAGTAAAAATCATATAAAAAGAATAAAAATTAAATAATTTTTTAACTATATTAATTATTTTAATTTATACATGAATATTAACCCTTATTTGAGACAAAAATACCCCTTTTTCTTTTCACAAGAAATTGAATGGTTGTTTATTTTTAAAGTACTTTATTTATTAAGATTCTATCTTATCTCATTAACTCCTTATTCAACCAATGACTGATTCAACTTATCAAGTCCCTGATGCTCCTGACGCTAATCAACAACCCTCATCTGAAATAGAACAACAAGCTCCAGAAACTCAACAACCTCAAGAAATAGAACAACAACTTGTCTCAGAAGTTGACCAAACACCACAACAAGAAACTGCCCAACCTACAGATAATCAAGTCGGTCAACCAGAAATTGTTCAACCAACTTCTGAAGCTCAACAACCAGTTGATCCAAATGTACAACAACCAGTTGATCCAAATGTACAACAACCAGTTGATCCAAATGTACAACAACCAGTTGATCCAAATGTACAACAACCAGTTGATCCAAATGTACAACAACCAACCACTCAAAATACACAACAGCCAATGTATACCCAACCAATGTATACTCAGTCAACTCCAATGGTTCAACCAGCGCAACAACCAATGTATGCTCAGCCAGCTCCAATGGGCCAACCAATACAACAACCAATGTATAGTCAACCAATGTACAACCAAGCCCCAATGGGTCAACCAGTACAACAACCAATGTATGCTCAACCACCACCAATGGGTCAACCAGTTCAACAACAACAACCAGTTGTTATTGTTCAATCACAAGGAGCAGGAGGATCACCAGAAACTCAACTCCCATTTGGAAAAAATCCACAACAAGCATTCTGTCCTCGTTGTAACACAATGGTTACAACTGTTGTAAGGTATGAAGCTGGAGGAATGGCATGTCTTGTTTGTTGTATTTTTACTCTTCTTGGATGTTGTTATTGTGGTCTTATTGCCTGTTGCATGAAAAATTTGAAAGATGCAGTTCATTTCTGTCCAAATTGTAAAAAGAGACTTGGTTCTAAAAGTGCTTGATTTACTTACTCTTTTTAATGATTTTAATGATTTTTGATTTTCTTTTCATATTAAAAAAAGTACATTAATCATCTGTAAAAGATTTTTTGTCAAAAATTGTCTTTTCATAGAGTCTTGTTTATTTTTCTTTTTATTGTAAAAATAGTAAGGCAATAAAAAAAATTGAAAGAAAACTCAATAATTAAAAAGAAATGAGCAAAGTAAAGTTAGAACTTCCATTTATGATGAATGTACTTCTGTACATTCGAGATTTTAGAACAATCACCCATTTTTTTCAAGTCTCTAAAAAATGTCAAGAGTCAGGTCTTGGATTAAGGGTAAACCCTTTGTTTGATTATAGTGTTGTTCGAAATAGTATCTATTACTCATATTTTCTTGAGAGTTCAAATGAACATGTCCAGTCATTTATTGATAAATTATTTGTATATTTTCCAAATATTGAAACACTTCAACTACACCCAAAACAATTAACAAGTTTAACAGAAGAACAATTTAATAAAGTTGATAGAATTAGAGTAAATTTTAATAACTGTTTTAGTTCAGAAAAAATAACACATAAATGGGGAAGTAAATTGACATCAGTCAAAATGAATCAGATCATTTCAAATAATCCATTGGAAATATATGATTATTCTGGATATCAAAAAGCAAATACTCTTCGAGTTGAAGCAGATTGTATTAATGAAACAATATTAAAAATGCAAAATTTAAACCATCTAATTATTTTTGTTGAAAGTGAGTCTTCATGGTTAAGTCTTGAAGAAATGTTAAAGATTATTAGACAGGGTTCATTTAGAGTTAGTATTATTTTTGGAGATAAGAATAAATGGGGGTCTCGTTCATTAACTGATAAAGAAAAAGAAAATACAATTGATACTGCTATCAAAAGATTTCCATTGTATCATTTCTTTGTTAAAAATACTCGTCTTTATCCACTAGAGTGTTATCCATTTTTCCCTATAGAATCATCAAGTCAATTTGATTATTCAAAGTCTGTTATTACTGAACACCAAGAATGGTTTAATGAAAAATATTTACCAACAAAAATAAAATTAGCATATGGATCTCTTACTAATGAATATTTTGGACGTGCTGAATTTAATGTTGATTTATCTCCATTTAATTGTTTAACTTCTCTTGAAATCTGTCAAAACGCTAAATCATTTAATCTTCCTAATTCTTTAAAAAACCTTAAAATTACTGGTTGTCTTACTGATTATTTAATTCCTAATATTGATACAGTTAAAGTAACTTCATTAAGAATTTTTCAATTTATGCCTTTTATTGACAAAATGAAATACCTTCAAGAGTTAAAACTAGACAAAGTTCTTTGTAAATTTACTACACCATCTACATTAACTAAACTTGTTATTAAAAATAAATTTAAAAGACAAGTTACTCTTAACATGGGATTAAAAGAATTGTCTATTCCTCAATTGCCTGGAAAACTTATTCTTCCTTCTTCTTTAACTTCACTTACTACTCCTTATCTTCTTGATAATGGAATTGATAATTGTTATTTACAATCATTATCTTTGGGAAGTTTATCTTATCTTATTGATTCAATGATTCCTAAAACTGTTACTCAAATTAGTTGTGGAACTGTTGAATCAATTTCTTTAACTAAAACAACTCAGTTAAAAGAATTATTTTTTGTTCTTTTTGTAAAAAGGAAGAAGTATTATCTTAATAAAATAGATTTACCATCATCAATTGATCAATTAACTATTTGGGTTAATAAAAATGATGATATAGATGTTAACCAATTTAGATCAGATATGGGAAATTATTTCGTTGGTATTAAATCATTAATATTAGATGGTGATTTTATTGACGATTTACTAACATTTGATGAATAACTCTTTTTCTTTTAAAATAATATTCAAAAATTTAATTTTTAAATTCATTTTATTAGAAATTAATGATTTTGTCATTATTTTTATTTTAAAAACTATTTCATTGCTTTATAAAATTTTTTCTTTTCATTTTAATATCAATATGACTTACTCAGACACTTAAAAAATAAACTACTTTATTTATCTAATTTACTTGAATAAGTTATTCTTTTTCATCAGTATTAATTCTGATTCATATTTTTTAATATTTAAACACTTTTCTATTTTTATTTCTTTTATTCAATTTTTCTTCTAACTTCATTCATCCTATAATAAACAATACTTCTTTATTGAACTGAATATCTAAATGTCTTTATCAAAAACTTCATGGTTTGAATCAGTTTAACCTTTAATAATGTACATTAATATTGGTCATTAAAATAGTTCCTATATATTAAATACAACTTCCTTCCAAATAAATAATATTTGACAATATCTTAAAACTATTTTGTGAAATTTATTATCTACAATAAAAAGTAAATCAATTTATAATAAAAGAATATCACAAATAGTTTGAATACTTAATTGTTAACAATAATAAATAAATACTAATAATTATTCAACTGTTAAAGTTAAACTCATCATATCAATTAAATATATATTTATTAATTTTTTATATTTATTAATTCACTTGATAAAGAATAACAAGTAACGTTATACTACTAAAAATAAAATTACTTTATAAGAAATGTATATCAATTAATATCTCTATTCATACTTTAAAAAGTCATACTACTCATTTCATTAAAATATTAATGATCAACCAACAAAGAGCAATTGGATTTAAGGCGGGTATTTATACTAATTATAATAATTGGGATCAAATCTTTGGACTTGATTATACTTTTGAGTATGCTGATGAATATCCTCTATGGTATGCTCATTATGATAGTTGGGATAGTTTTGGTGATTTTACTCCATTTGGTGGTTGGAGTCGTCCAACAATGAAACAATACAATGGAGATATGACTACATGTTCACATGACGTTGATTATAATTACAAGCCATGAATTGAATTAATGAATTTTATTGGTTTATTGAAAAAGCTTATAACAATGAGTTATTCCATTTGTAGAAAGAAGGTGTTGTTAAAAAGTCAATAAGTGAGACATAGTTATGACTCTTTGATTGTTCATGAAAAGAAATTCTTTCTTTTCATCCAATGATTTATTCTCAAATTGTCATTTCAAAAAATGATGGAATCATACTCATTTCAATCTTATTGAAATGTTTAGAACATATAAAAATTGTTTAATGAATAGATTGATGGTTAATATCATAAATATTAATGTTGGTACAATTAGACAATAATAATATTTTGACAGAACATAAATTAATAGTACTATTGATTATAGAAGGTATTGATTAATTCAATAAATGAAGAATAATGTCTTTATTTTTATAAATCAAAATGTATTTTTTTATAGTTAAGAATGAAGTAGATCATGATTTTGTCTATTTAAAATGAATGTTATTTAATAGAATGATAAATATTAAGTAATGAATAATTTTCATTATATTGTTAGGGGATAGTTAGCTTTTTAAAATCAGTATTAAAAAAATAATTATAAATCAGTTATTAAGTAATGAACTTATTTCTAACATAAATGCTTCAATATGATAAATTGGTTCAGTTCCAAGTGACATATTATGACTATGTTTCATTGCAATAGAAGGAATTTCTAATTTATATTTTGGATCAATTTTTGATTCCATTAAATACCAAAACATTGTCTTTAAGATAGTATCAGCAGAAATGATTGTTGATAATTCCACAACTTCATCTCGTTTCTTTTCAAACTCTTTTGAGGAAATCTTTTTCATACTAATAACAATCTCAGCTAACTTTTCTCTCCAATATAAATTCTCTATCTTTCCAGTTAATCTATATTCAAATGCTGCTGCTTCAGCTAATAGAATATTTCCACGAGAAATACCAACGATTTTTTCATTTCCTCCAAGTTTTTCAACAATTTTAGTCATTTGTTGTTTATCTGGAAGAGGAACACGAATCATAACACATCTTGAACGAATAGGTTGAATAACACTACATGGATTAGTACAAAATAAAATAAATCTACAAACTTCTGAACCAGTTTCCATA